GGGTTTAGTTCTGTACCACCGGGCCAAAAATATGATGTATGGCGCCTGAAATTTTGTATATTTTTGTTTTCATGTTTCAAGAACATACATATATTTATAAAAATGGGACAAAAGTCGATGTTTTTTTAATCTGTGATTAATTACATTGTCCGTACAGTATCAATAATCAATAATGGTGCTGTGGTTATTCTTGTACGATTGACGGTCATAGATATACCAGGATCTCCAGCGCCATTGCCGTGAACCAGAATCCTTACCCGCAAAACCCTGTTTACTGGCATGCTGGTTCCGTTTACAGGTCCGTCGCCTGCCGCTTCTGGATTCATACTTGTCAGAATTTCTTCCATTTTATTTTACAGTGTTTYAGAATAATAAAAATCAATATTCATATACTGTTTATTAGTTTTAAGAATCACATGCAAGTGATTCTCGGCTGTTACCATAGATAATATTATATTCGATAATCATATGTAGATAGATCTACCCAATATCCATATATGCATATACGAATTACGAGTATATACAAAATATTTATATAATACTTGCTGTATTACACGAATTTACCAGGGAAAAAATGAACAAATATAAAATATAGCGWTATATAGGTACACTACTATATAGCTATTATAAATAGGTGTATCTCAATTCTCAGTCCTAGTGTCCAATTCACGGACAAATCGGCGCTACCTTGCTTTTATTACTATAGAAATAGCACTTGAAATATTTGTAACGTAATTCAAATTACACTCTATAAACTTATCTGATATATCTAAGAACATTCTGTCAAACTATAACATTTTCATCAAAATCTAAGCTATATTCATATTACACATACCTATATTATATATTGTGTATAGATTATATAAAAGTTGTTTTATGTCCGTAACCTGTAATGGCAACCCTTCATATAAACAAAAAAATGTCCTTAATCCTTATTATGTGAGACGCCATATTTTATTTAGCTATACAAATGAACAAAAGTAAGTTGAAAACGAAGTTTATATATTGCATATATTTATTATACATCCTCGCAAGTCTCAAGGAATACGTCACGAGCGCAACATTTTTGGTGCCAATTGGATAGGGAATAAGTTATTCCGAAATTAGCGAGAACAATTGCACAAATATTTATATACTATACATAATATATAAAGATTCTAAGTTTTAAACACATACATGCTTATAGTTCATAAACTATACTTGTCCGAAATTTGATTTTTATAAATCGAAACACTTCGAATAATATTCCGATTTGTAACATGATGTTAAAAGTGTGTGTTGATTGATACTTAAAAATTAAAAGACATTAAGTGGGGTAAGCAGCTATTTATAAAAGGTATAACTTCTATCGGCTCTATCACTAAGTAGCTATATATTTTATGATTAAAATAATTTATTTTACTGTTATATTATTATTACGATATAGGTGATTGATTGATAGTTACGCCGAGCACCAAAATATATGTGTAWAATGTATTATACTATATCAAATTTAATTATTATAATATATACCATATACCTACATAGTATATATACCTATGTATTCCAAAATTAAATCAAAATTTGAACTTCGAATGTCCATAAAAAAAAATCAAGACAATTTCCCAATTATTAAGAAAATGTAAATATTTTGAATTGATTTCTTTTAAACCCCCAAAGGACTGAGGTTTATTAGCTAAATTTACTTTTCTAGCAGAAAATATATATATCGAAGTTTAAACACGTGTAGGTACACTGTATAAACGTATTACAGTGTATAAACACGTTAAAAAAGTATATATCATCAATTAGTATACATTTATCATTCARCTCAGAATCTAAAATGCAATTTGAGAATTGTAAATTATGCTATTTATTTATTTATTTATAATTTATGTATTATAGTTAAAAAGTGGAACTAAAGATATGTAGAATGTAGATGTAGGTATATAAATATTAAATATATGATAAAAAGAATCGAATGGTACATTAAACATTTATAAAAAAGATACAATATTGNACTTTTGATCATAAACTTTGTTCGGTCAACATTAAATACAACGTTTCTTATACGTTGTGTATTGTGTTAGTGGAAATTAAACAAAAAAATTGAATGTACGTCCACAGTATTTTTTTATAAACGCAATAATATGCAAATTATTTAATAGTTAGAAATTAATAAAAGATTATATAATTTTCTATTTATATCTTATAGATTTTTAAAATTTAATACAAGATTCCTCATGAGTTTTTCTRCCTTTAACAAAAAACACCTAAAATTTACATAAACATAGTCTTTTTAATAGACATTTCAAGTTCAAATTCGGAAAAATTTGATATTTAAATGGCACTTAAAAAATGTATAATAGTAGTTTAATATTAAATATTTATTTTGCGAAATATATTTAAAATGAGGAATTTAAAAGTACAAAACAGCGTTACTAAGAAAACAATTTTAATTTACGTGCTAATTTAAACGTTTTGTATAAGTGTACTTATTATCTATAGACTTTATCTAAGCATGTGTATATTTTGACATAATTTATGTTGTACAAATTGTGTTCATTTTGAACTAAGAACCAGCCAGATATTTCGTACAATGCTGATACACATTTACAATACAAGTACATTATGTTACTAACGCGTATGTTCAAAATTCGAAAATATCAACTTAAAAAAAATAAATAAATGGCAGCTATACATTTTTATTCATAAAGATTTAGCTCCAAATAATTATTAAAAATGTAAAATATCGTACTTTGAACATTACATAAATAGAAATATTTTAAACACATTCACAAACTACTACAYACTTATTGTTATAACTTTTATAATACATTTGTTTAAATAATTATTATAACGCAAACATGTACCTTGTACCTAATAYCATAGATATATAGGTTTAGTAAACATTTAATTAATTCGATTATTATTTGCAGGTTATGCAATCTATAACACAGCCTAAAAAATATCGATGTATTTCATCAAGACCGTTGYCACAACCGGAATCGGAATCAATGTCTAACGTAATGTATATAAGAGTACCAACATTATCGGTTACAAAATCATCTTCCACGGCCTCAAAATCTCCAGCTCCGGTTTCAAATTCACAATCCTCATTCATAAATTCACCATCTACAGGATCAAAATCATCTTCAGTTCCAAAAAAACCATCTTCAGTTCAAAAAAAACCATCTTCAGTTCCAAAAACACAGTCTTCAGTTTTTAAATCATCATCTCCGGCCACTAAATCATCATCATCAACTGTTCAAAAAGTGACGTCTAAAGTAACCAACTCATCACGCACAGACAAAAMATCGCCACCCGACTCCTTTAGTTTATTTAAGTTACCGTTAAAATTAATTTCTAGTTTACTGGTACCACTAATACCAACAACAATTAGACAAAACACATCTTCGATTATTTCACCACTATTTAGTTTTCAGATGCCTTTAACATTCTCAACGATTCATCATCCTAACTATCTACCTTGTAATACAAATAACTCGCCTTATCCGTGTAACTCATTACCCGGTATCTCAAACAATATACCTATTTCTTTTAACCCTCTACCCGGTAACACGAACAATTCGCCTATCCCTTCTAATTCTATACCCGATAACACCAATACTTTGCCTACTCCTTGTAACCCTCAACCCGGTAATACAAATACCATAACTACTCCTTGTAACTCACTACCTGGGAACACTAATACCACCCCTGAGCCTAGTAATTCTCTACCCACAGGTAATAAAAATAACTCGATTAATCTTTGTACTTCTATAGCTAGCAATACAAATAACTCAATTAATGTTCTTTGTAATTCTTTTCTAGGGCATTCACAYAAATCCATTATTTTTAATTGGTTTTGCAACTTTTTGCTAAACAAAATAAAAAATGTAAGCTGCGATATTCCACCAACTGAAATTATTCCCACGCCTAGCGAACCTAATCCACCAGCGACTACGGACAATCCTAATACATTATTACCCGTAACGAGTGACTTTACTGTTACATCAACTGAAGATATTACAACAAATGATAATAACACACCGAACGATAATTGCACACCAAATGAAAATAATACACCAAAATATGATACACCGCATGATAATAACATACCAAATAACAATATACCAACATCCACATCACACTATCCTATTCCACCATGTATTTTTACACCAATTAGTAAGATTCATAAACCTTGCCTACCATTGATCCATAGTCAAAAACCAAAACCTTGTAGTGTACCAATAACCCACTCACATTCGCATATCCCATTAAAGTATTATCCACCAAATCATGCACCTTGTTCACCATCTTACACTTATTT